AAAAAAAAATTAAGACGATGTTTATGGAACTTTTTTTGGCGATATATACCATGGTCTTATAGAACTTACTGAAATATTACGGCCTTACGACAAGTAGTTTATTTTAAAACTTCATCAAAGTTTGAGAAAATGAGTATTTTTTTTGACGTTTGTTAAAATTAAAATTAGACGATTCACTTGGTATAACGATAGAGTACTTGGTCTTAATAAACTTAATAAATCATTAAAGTCCTACGGAACTGGTTCAATTAAAAAATTATTGATTATTGAAAAATTTGCTTTTAAAAAATACTCGAGTTTGTTTTCGTTTTCAATTATGTGTAAATCCACTCGGAATACTTTCAATCACTCATAAATTAATTCATTTTTATGATTAAGTCGATTTTACACATATCGGGAAGTTCATGTAACTTGCCTCAAGGCTAAATACCAAACCAACTAGTTTTTAAATGTTATTACAATTTCAAAATTATATTGTTGATTTGAGAAAAACAGAAACCTGATAAAATTTCAGTTTTTTAACTGTAACTGCTTATGGGCAAATTGTAAATAACTTTAAATCTTTAAATATAACGATTATGTTCAGACATAAATGACTTTCTTAATCGTGACAACATATTGGCATGTTGTATTCAAAATCTATTTATACCAGTAGATAAACGATAAAATTATCTAAAATTAGATTCAAACAATTTTTCTGTATCTAAAAAAATTAAGCAACGGCAGGCTTAAGAGCATAACATAAATAACAAAAAATTAGTTTGTACAAAATTTTACTTTTGTATTCGTGACAACCTATTGGCAATTCGTATTTAAAATCCACTAGATTATAGGTAAAATTATCTAAAATTTATACCATTTATACATTTATATTTTTGTTCATGTATAATTAAATAATAGAGCTACAATTTACAATCATACATTTATGTTTTGAAAATAACAACCCTCAGAGCAAAAATCATATTTACCAACCCTCAGTGCACGTGGCTAACCAGATTTGATGTATATTTCTTAAAAAGTTGTTAAAGTATCTATTTACAAAAAAAACTTATAAATTTATTAACTAATTCATTTATTAAATAATTAATTTAATTCGTAAGAATATAATTGAATTAAATTCATTACATAATAACGTAAAGTGATACTTTGATATATATATATATATATATATATATATATATATATACAGGGTGTGTGTGAATAAATCTTTGTGAGATATCGAATATCAATTAATTTGAAAATTCCCTTTTCAATGGAACTCTCGAATAGAAATCCCCTGAAAGGAAGATATACAAATCTGTTCATAATATTCCTGTTGAAAGCGATCTGAATAATAGATATATATATATAAATATCGTTATATATATATATATATATGTTGAAAGTATATATATATATATATATATATATATAATATATATATATATATATATCTATATATATTAGAAAATGTATTTATAAATACCTAATACATCTTCAAATCTGTAATAACTATTCGTACACTAAGGGCTTCAGTCGTTTCTAGAAGCTTTTAATAAAATTTGAACTTTCTGGTAATACTTTTACATATTCAAAAGTTTGTAACTTCGATATTTTATTAGATACAAAAAAATTAATATAGAGATATTTTCTCTATTATCTAACTGTATCAATAAATTTTGGATACGACTTACCAAAAGGTATAACAATCAACAAACAGAAATTTTGTCCGAACACAATTGTCTTGTTTAGTAAGAAATATAAGGCAATAATTAGTTTTGATGGTTTGTAACTTCTTTATTTTATTGATAAGGAAAAATATTTTTCTACGTTTAAGATATTTTCCTATTATTATCTAACTGTATAAAAACATTTTGGATACGATTTGACAAAAGGTTGTTACGATTAAAAAATCCAACATCTGTCACAATTTTGCCTCATTTTTGGTTTTAGTTCACTTTATGCATCAGAACTCAAAAACTAATTACTGTATCTATATACAGTTTTCTGGTATATAAAAGCTAATAAAATTCTTTACAACCTTGCCATACATCATCGTATTACAAAATTACAATGAATGTGCCAAAAATGCATTAGGACTTGATGAACCCTAAAAGTTGTCATAATAGACATTCTAGTGTTAAATGATTATTTATTGCATATTAATTTATCTATTAATTATTATTAATTTTTTTTATACATTTAATGCAGTTTTATATTTATCGGAAAATCGAAACCACAAAGTATTTTCCTTTGAAGAAAAAAGAAAGCATTTCCAATTTCTTTTTGAAGTTTTAACTTCATTGTTTGTGAAATACAATGAGGTCGAACTTAAGATCCTTTTTTCCTTTTTTTAAAGGAAAACTGTATTAGTACGATGTGAAAAGTTCAAAGAAAAATATTAAAGGATATATATATATATATATATATATCCTTTGGCTTCATCATAACAATTAAAATTTTATGTCATATTTATTTGTGACCTTGTAACTCACGATTTAGTGGAGATAGTTCTAATAATTTTTGGTACGGGAAGTTCCAGCAATTTGCCTTAAGGCACGATGCCATGCACCACTAGTTAGTCTTCTCTTTTATAAGAATTGTAGTATATGAATTTATATTATATATATAAAATATGTTTTCATTTTTTAATCCAATAATTAGTTCAGAAGAAATTTTTGTTTTGCCAACACCAATTTATATATACATACATATATATATATATATATATATATACATACATATATATATATATATATATGTATGTATATATATTTGTATTTATATTTATTTAAGAAAAGTTGGAAATGTCAACCGTGAATTAAAAAGTAATCAATTTTAATTAGTTCTTTAATTATATTAAAAAACTTTCTGAACGATGACGAGACAAAAATAATGAAATTATAACAAGATCTTTCCTCTGTATATATACATATACAGTTGTTTTCTTTTGCTTTTTATGAGTACACCGAGTTGCTGTAGGGCATTATGGTGAAAGACAATATTGTAGATTATTTAATTTTGTACAAATTTGTCGAATACATTATTTGTATTAATCGAATGGTTCAACAGTTTCAATATATGTATATAAAAAATAAATGTACAATAATAATAAATCAGGCACTTTGGATCATAATAAAATATTTTCAATTGCGATTTTAGGATATATCGAGTTGCCCTATAAAAAGGCAATTTTTTAATTCAGGAGGGCCAATTAAAATATGACACCATTTTAACCCATTCGCTTTGAAAGTAGATATTTTAAAGAAAATTATACTCGGGTTTAAAAATCAATGTTATGATGAAGATTATTTATATGTTCTGTGAGCATTGTTTTATGCTGATTCTTATTTTTTAAATTATTTCTATGTTGAGAAATTCTTTTGTGTAAATTGGCTAGTTTAGCCTTTATATTATACTAGATGACCCAACAGACGTTGTCATGTACCCACGTCTACAATTCAAAAGTTCCAATTTTTTTAATATTTTATCCTATACTTTTTAATATCATATTTGATGTCCTGCCTTTATGATTCATTTATGGTCTTAGCATAAGCAGTATAAGAAATTCAGAAAAAAAATAATGTAATATCTGCAGTAAAAGAACAATATCACACTTGATTTTACCACACAACATAATTACTTCAATAATTTAGTCTATAATTTTCATATTCTCGTACGATATATTAGTTGCTTTCTGGCAATTATAATTTCTAAAGTACATTTTTCTTACTAATAATTTAATGCAATTTTGGACTCATTGCGTTATTTATTAAACTGAATTATAAAATTTCATCTGCCAACATATACCGTTGACTATATCTTATAATATTTTAATCTCTGGCACATCTGAACTGCTTTTTTCGGCAATAATAATGTAGACACTACATTTTTCTTGTATATTATAATCTAATATTAACTAGGCTCATAACTTCATCTAAATTCAAATTTCAAGTGAATTGGCATTTCTAGCAGATGACAGTTCAATTGTTTTCAATGTCAAACAATGATAAGTAGTTTTTACGTAATTTTTGCCATTTATTTCTACAATATTACTATAGTTTAATCCAATATACAATATACTTATAGTTCACTAAATCTTAAGAATTTCCTTTGACAAACTCTAAAAAGAATTATCAAAATCCGAATAACCGTTTAGGAGAAGTATCAAATCATACACCCATACAGAAGAATTTTATATATAAGATATATATATATATATATATATATATATGTATATATATATACATAAATAAATATAAAAACTTACCGTGAATCCGATTCCAACTGTTGCACTGAAGGTTCCTTGTTGGAACTTTCCAGTATCGAATTGTACTAGTAAAGAAGTTTTGCCTACGCCACTGTCTCCTAATAGTATTGTCTGAAATAATAATAATAATAATAATAATAAAAATATTAAAAATAAAAATATAAATAATAATAATAATATTATTATTATTATTATATTTATATTTATACATTAAAGAGCCAATTCTCCGGTAAAGTAGAAACGTTATGACAACGCAGTATTACGGGTCTATATTCGTATGAGTTGGTAGCAACGAACTGTTAAAATGCTGTGTATTTGGTGAGCGATCAGGCGTTTTAAACATAAAACCTGAGGTCCAAAACCACAAACGTTAAACAACCTTTTGGTCATAAGTGCAACTTTCTGGTGTTTCATTGATAACACATACGTGAAGTTAGGTTTTATGGTTAAAACGCCTGATCGCACAGCAAATACATAACTTTTGATGGTTTGTTACTACCAGTTCATACGAAGATTGAGCCGTAACATACTATTTTATACGAGAATGGTCTCTATTAATTCTTAAATAATTATGTCGCCATCTAGCGATAAGCTTGTGAAACAAATAGCAATTTCTGATATGGTTAGCTTGACCGCCATATTGGTTTTAAAAGGCTTCTTTTAAGTAAAATTATTTAGATTTGAATATTAAGAGCTTTAGATCACACTTTTTGAGTTAATTATTATATTGAACTAGTTGGGTGTATGGCATCGTGCCTTAAGGCAAATTTCTGGAACTTCCCGTACCGTAACGAAATGTTCGAGGAGTACTGAATGTTTTGAAATAGATTATTATTAATATTGTAACATTGTCTAATATTTATAAGAATAATATAAACTGAATTGCAAAGTTGAAATTATTTGTTCAAAAAATATTACAACTTTAGTCAAAAACTAGTGGTTTATGGCATCGTGCTTTAAGGCAAATTGCTGGAACTTCCCGTACCGTAATGAAGTATTTGAGAAATTGTAAACGTTTGCTAATATATTATTACAAATACTGTAACTTTCATTATTTTTGCTAGCTTTTGTTATATCTGAGCAAATCAAATGTAAATCATCAAATCAATTTATCTCCGGAACATTAACAATCGTCATTTCATTTCGAATTCAATTTAAAAAATAATTGCCTAATTTACACAAAATTGATAAAGCGCTCCCGTATAGTCACAGTCTAAACGCATTTGCAGATAATTCTGTGCGACATTTTCACTTATACTGTTCTTAGCTCAGCGGCATTTTCACATTTTTCAATAGTTTTCACAAAATTGGAAAAGTGCTCCAGTATACGTGAGTGCAAAAATTTTCATTTTCGATCTTCGGCCCATTACTATAACTACCCTACGGGAAGTTAAAAAAAAACGTGACGAACAGACATAAAGACGAACATGTTGGTTGAGTTCTGGGACAACCCTGCACATGTATATTGGTAAATACTTTTATATTGGTAAAAAAATATAAATTGAATTTTTAAGCAAAATTTATTTTAATTTTCTTAGATCAACAATACCTATTTTGAATTTAAATTATTTAATAAACTGCAAAACTTGTACTCGTGGCTGCAAAAATTAAATGCTGAGGAATGTCACGTACTTCTTTTATTTGCCGTGAATAAAATAATATTTAAAGAGTTGTTATAAGGATAAAAATGCACTTTATACTGTACCAGTATCAAAATTGTGCTTGCGATTATCATATAACATGTATTTCTTATAAGATACCAATACCATACTCACGTATGCCTAAACCTTAATTTTTATGTTGTACGCCTTTTAACTAACTATATAGTACGCCTAATACGCCTACTACCCTATATACGTAATACGCCCAATATTATTCCGTATCTTACACCTATAATGTTTCTTACACGCTAATTTTTCCGAACCCTACCGGGAATCGAACCCGGACCCTCTGCGTAGAAGGCAACGACCTTAACCACTAGACCACCGTGGCGCTACGATTTGACGTCTTTTTTCGCGTGTCGTCTCGTCGCCGTAGTATTAATTACTTAATTAATAGGTAAAGGTACCGCGGAAAAACAATGCGTCCCTTAATATATTATTTGTGGGGAACCCAGTAGAGTAGTGGTCAAAGCTGTGGACTGCCACGCGGTGGTCCCGGGTTCGATTCCCGGTGCGGGCGATAGACAATAGAGTATACGGTAGAGACAATAAATAATAGATAAGCGTAAAATATAGCGTTTAAATAGTAGTATGTAAGGTTTGTAAGGGGTAAAAGATATGTAGGTGTATGTTTATATAATAGGTTAATAACAAATAATGTATATATATATATATATATATATATAATGGCGTAACCAAATTTTTGATGGGTGGGCTCGTTTTTTTTTTTTAGATAGACAGCCAGTGGTCTTGGTCTCGTTAGAGATATTAGCCCATATAATAAATATATATTCATGAACTGTATATATATATATATATATATATATATATATATATAATAAGTATATAATATATATACTCGTATATATATAAATGTAGGAACTGATGGTCTTAGGTATCGTACGGTATGATTAGATAGGTAGTAATCAGATTTAAGTCCTTTAACGTATTGTAATAGATATTGGCTACTTTTATATAGAAAAGGAGTGCGCGTAAGGTTCATTTGCAATTGAAGTAAAACTTATTTGTTACTGTACAAAGTAGCAAATTTAAGTTAAGTAAAAATAAATATATCATATAACAATTTCGAATAATATTTATTAGTGTCAACCATTATACACATTTATATAATGTGTATAAGTATGACTGTATACTTCAAGTATGACATAATCTGTTTGTCATTGTAATTAGCATTTAGAAATCAACCTTCATTAGAGAAATGAAGTAATTGCTGATTAATAACTTCTATAATATTCGTTCACACAGTGGATTATGTTAAACAACGCCTAAACAAATATTGTTTTCGCAACTTCATTCATCATGGAATAATTGTGTTTGAAGAACTTCATGTAATTAAAATGAAGTGAATGATCCGTGCACCCGAAAACGTGACTGGGAATTTGTATCCATACATACATACACACACACACACACATCCATTTTTCTGAGATATGCCAAAATGTTCAGAAACCTTCAAAACGTCGAGAAATGTAAAAATTTTCAATTTCGATTTTCGGCCCATTGCAATAACTTACCCTATGGAAAATTAACAATAAGTGTAGTTGTTTATCTTCTAACTAAAAATATGTTCTTAACAAATGGTGGAAAGCATGTCGTTCCAAAACGTGGACGATATATTATATTTAACAATCAGCTTTTGACACTGAAATTGGGAAAAGTATGTGGGTGAGAGAGAAAGACTGATGTTTGGTCGGCGTTTTTTTTTCAAAAACCGCCGACCGATTTCAAAAACCGCTGTACCGATTTCAAAAATTTAGAAGCCTCTTGTTGAAACTCAAGAAAAGAAATCGTCATGATTAGTTGTTTATCTTCTAACTAAAAATAAGTGTGTGTGAGAGAAACTCTGATGTTTCTTCCACTTTCTGTTTAAAATCGGCTGTACTGATTTCAAAAATTTAAAAACCTTTCGTTGAAACTCGATTAGAACTCGCCATGATTAGTTTTGCGAGGACTTGGATCGAACCTTCTATCAACAACTGTGCCAAATTCAGATTCAGAACGACATATAACGTCGAAACAAAATTAACAAGTCGGTGATAAAACCATAAACTTCTCCAAAAAGTTAATAAAAACAATTATATCATATTTATATAAATTAAAAAAATGTTTTATATCATCACCTTCATCAAGTGATACGTTTGGAGCATAGTATGTACGGATCGGAGACATGGACTATAAGAAAGGCCGATAAGAACTACCTCGAGAGTTTTGAAATGTGGTGCTGAAGAATATAAAGTGGATAGATAAAATAACAAATGAAGAAGTCCTGAGAAAAGTGGGTGAAGAAAGGACTCTACTGAGCACAATTCTGAAAAGAAAAGGAAACTGGATCGGACCTCTTTTGCGAAAAGAGTGCCTCCTGCACGACGTCGTCGATGGTAAAATAAAAGGAACAAAAGGAATGGGAAGAAGAAAAATGCAGACGATTATTATCATCACCTTATGCACTTTATGTTCCTCCTCAGTCAAAGAATATTTTTTCGGTTCTGCACTCAGCTCACCACTAGTCCTTTCAGCCAGGTGCCGAACCAGTTCGGCAGGCGGTTCGTATCCCGGATAACCGGTCGGTGACGGATTCGTACCCTTGCCATATTGACTGGTCGCCGGAATCCTAGATGGCGTAAGTGTTATTGCTTCGTCTTCGAAGACATCATCACTCATACTGTCGTCGGCCTAATAAAAAAAAAATTTGATTATGTGGTGATAGAAAATAAATTATAGTAATAATAGAGTAACATAAGTGTAGCACCAACAATTAATAAAATTTGTTGCCCTCTTTAAGAGATCAGAGACATGGACTCTAAGAAAGATAAACAAAAATTACCTGCAGAGCTTTCAAATGTCGTACTGGAGATAAATAATAATAATAATAAATGGTAGTCTGCCCGAAAGCCGGTCCATGGTGCGAGAGCCACCACAACAAATAATTCCCTTGTCCCTTGTCTATCATTCCCATTACCACTATTGCCCCTACCCCCATTTTTTACATGTATTTTCCTTTCCGAACTAACTGTACCATGCTCCTGATCCTGCGCTTCGGCTTTCAGTTCCCTGTATTTTCTCTTCTGGCGTAAGTCGCCAATCATTTGCATTCTTCTTCTTTCCTTTCCTTTCATATTCTATTTTACCCTCGACGACGTCGTGCAGGATGCACTCTTTTTGCAGAACGGATCCGACCAAGTTTTCTTTTCTTTTCAGGATTGTGCTCAGTAGAGTCCTTTCTGTCTACCACTTTTCTCAGGACATCGTCATTTGTTATTTTGTCTGTCAACTTTATCTTCTCCATCCGCCTTCAGCACCACATTTCAATACTTTCCAGGAAGTTCTTGTCGGCCTTTCTTAGAGTTCATGTCTCCGATCTGTACAGAGCTATGCTACCTATTTTATTATTATATTTTGAAGACAAATTGTGAAGATAAAGTTGACGGATAATATAACAAATGAAAAAGTGGAAAAATTAGAAGAAGGAAGGAAGCATTCTAATTACAAGAAGTACCTCAGATTGACTCTTCTGGAATTTCGATGAAACTTTATATTATGATGGAGTTGATAGTCAAACTGAACACATTAAAATATTAGAGGCCTAGGAGAAGTGGTTTAATTGTAAAAATTAATTGAAGTTTTGAAAAATAGTACTGGTAGAGACACCGAGGCATATTGATACGAAACACTGTAAATTATAATATATAATAAATAATTTTTATAATTAAACCACTCCTCATAGGCCTATAATATTTTAAGGTGTTCAGTTTAACTATCAACTCTATCACCATGCAAAGTTTCATCGAAACCCCAAAAAAGTAATCCTGAGGTCCTTGTGAGCTCGATCATGAAACGAAAAGAAAACTGGTTTGGACCCATCCTGCGCGATGTCGTTGGCGGTAAAATAAAAAGGAATGAAAGGAATGGGAAGAAGAAGAATGCAGATGATTGACGACTTATGCGAGAAGAAAAAATACAGGAAACTGATAGCCAAAACACAGGATCAAGAAACATGGAAGCAGAAGTTTGGAAATAAAAATACATAAAAAATGTAAAAGGGGGGGAGGGAATAGTGGTAATGGGAATAATAGACGTGAAGTGAATCATTTATTTGTGGTGGCTCTCGTACCATGGACCTGCCTTCGGGCAGACTACCATTCATTATTTTTATTTGTCTCCAGTACGATATTTGAAAGCCCTGCAGGTAGTTTTTGTTTGTCTTTCTTAGAGTCCATGTCTCTGATCCCTTAAGAGGTCAACACCTCTCTTGTTGTTGGTGGTATACCTATGTTACTCTATTCTCACTATAACTTAAGCAGAAGTTTGGAAATAAAAATACATAAAAAAATGTAAAAAGGGGGGAGGGAATAGTGATAAAGGGAATGATAAACAAGGGTAAGTGAATCATTTATTTGTGGTGGCACTCACACCATGGACCTGCCTTCGGGCACCGATAATAATAATAATAATACTGAGTTCTTAGGAATGTTAAATAAAATTTTATAAATGAATTGAAGAATTTTATCAGGTTGATAATATTTTAATTAAGTGATAAAGCAAATTAATTTAGCTTTTGACTTAATTAAATTTCGTATCTTTTTGTATGATAAAGAGAATTTATACATACATACATACATACATACATACATATATATATATATATATATATATATATATATATATATACATATACATATATACGAAATTTGTTATAAATTTTGTTGGAATTACAAAAGCAAAAATAAAACTAAATTACTAAAGTCGTTGCATTTTTTTTATGAAAGTAGAGTTTTGTTAATAATTTTATGCAGATTTCGATCACAATTTTCAAACATCGAAATATATTTTTTTAAAAAACTTAATAAATTATTGACGTAGTTTTACATATACATTATTTAATGGTTTAAATGAAAGTTAACTTTTTTTTCCAAATCTAGAGAAGTTTTGTAGACTGTTAATTTATTTTTAAGCAAAAAATTACTAATTGGAAAAACAAAAGCAAAAAATTATTAATTGGAAAATTTAAAAAAATAATTAGATTGAGAAATAAAAAATTATTAAAAAATAATTAGATTATAAAATGTTTTCAAACAATGATGAATTTTTAAAATTAAACTATTTGTGTTAGGGCCGTAATATTTCAGTATGTTCTATAAGACCATGATATCTATTGTCAAAAAAAGTTTCATAAAAATCGCCAAAAAATTCTTTTCAACAGGTGATTACAAGAAAACGGCTCGGTCAATCTTTACCTAATCAGTATCATTCCCAACTAATATATTTCCAACAGTATTTGATTTTTTAAACTCGATTCGGTAGTATACGCTTGAATGTAGACAAAAAGTTCAACACTTTTTCCCAAATTACAAAGAAACGGTTTGGCAGATCGTAGCACAAAACTGGCAAACGATAGTCCTCATTGAGAAACATCGAATGGCTTTTAAATTTTTGAAATCAGTTCAGGCGTTTTTGAAAAAACGTCGATCAAAGGTCTAATTTAGACAAATGCTAAAAAAACGACATTAATTTCTGCAAACTTTGACGGATTTTTAAAGTTAAACAACTTGTCGAAGGGACGTAATATTTTAGTTTGATCTATAAGACTATGGTATCTACCGTCAAAAAAATAATAATAAAAATCGCTGACAAAAAATTTTTTAACACCTTATTACAAGAAAACGGCCCGGCGATCTTCACCAAAAACTAATCAAGTCGATTCCCAACAAATATCTTTCGAACGGTTTTTGAATTTTTAAAATCGATTCAGAATTGCGGGCTAAAACGCGGAGGAAAAATTTTTCACTTTTGTGCGATTCACAAAGAAACGGTTTGGCCGATCGTAGCGCAAAACTGAGAAACGATAGTCCTAATCGAGATATATAGAATTGTTTTTAAATTTTTGAAATCGGTCCAGCCGTTTGTGAGAAAACGTCGATTTAAGGTACAAAATCTGTTCACACACACATACTTTTTCCAAATTTGGTCTCATTCGATTCAGAATGGCTTGAAACGTCGAGAAAACATAACATTAGCGAATCAAACTTTTGATGAAAACATAAACTTCTTCTTCGGGAAGTTAAACATAATACAGCTTCTCATTGTTTTTTTTTTTTTTAAAAAAAACTGTTTTGTACAACATTTTATGCAGGTTTTTAATTTTTCAGACAACTTTCCAAAATTACTACTTTATAAAAAGTTACAAACCAAAAACAAATCAATTAAGAATTTTTTGAGTAACGAACTAACAAAAGGAAAAACAAAACTAAACATACTAGAGTCGTCGAAAAAAAAATTAAAAAAAACAGTTTTGCAGAACATTTTAAGCAGATTTTAACATTCTCAAACAATTTTCCAAAATTTCCACTTTACCAAAAGTTACAAACCAAAAACCAAATCCAAACATATCTAACTCACCATATTATACACCTCGTGTACACCCTCGAAAGTAAAACTTCAGTAAAATAACAAACACATTTAACAAACTTTCACATCAAACACTTTCACATCTTTCAATTTATCTAATTATCTTTATATATCAACAATTAATTAAATTACTATTTATTTAATTAAATTTAATATTGTCGCAGCTGTCAGGCACCAAAACAATCTGATTTTGAGGTTATGTTCAAAGTTGTAAAATTTGTGTTCGCCGATCGATGACGTAAGATGGCGTGCGCAGACTCAGACGAGTGACGTCACGACAATATATATATATATATATATATATATATATATATATATATATATATATATATATATGTATATCCATATATAAATGTATTAAAATGCACTTTATGTGCTCGTAAAAGCATAGTAATGAGATTATATTAAAAGTGAGGTTATATAACAATTTTATGTGTTACATATATTTAGCTACAATAAAGCTGTGCTTTTTGATAATAATACATGATACTCTACCCGAAGGCAGGTCCATGGTGTGAGAGCCACCACAAATACATAAATCCCTTATCCTTCGTCGTCTATCATTCCCATTACTACTATTCTTCCCTACCTCCCCCTTTTTGCATGTATTTTTCTTTCCGAACTTGTGCTTCCATGCTTCCTGATTCGTCTTTCAGTTCCCTGCATTTTTTCTTCTCGCATAAGTCGTCAATCGTCTGCATTCTTTTTCTTTCCATTCCGTTTAGTCCTATTTTACCCTCGTTCAAGAGGCACTCTTTTTGCACAAGGGGTCCGATCCAGTTTCCTTTTCTTTTCAGGATTAGAGTCCTTGCTTCGTCCACTCTTTTCAGGACTTCATTTGTTATTTTGCTGTACTATTTACGATAACATAAATACTTTAAATTAATTATTTATATGACTTTATAAAGACTATCTGCATAAAGACTGCTATCGCTGCTACCCGATACCACAATATGATACCATTAATATGAGGTAGTATGTAGTATGATAACAAATCCATGTTTCATTTGAGGGTTTGGAGTATAAATTATTTCAGAATAAATATTTTACAAGTAGCATAAATTCTACATACAATTTAGTACAAAATGACGTTTTTATAATTTTAGTAAACTGCTATTGCTGTTGCCTAATCTAGATTATATGAGAATAAATTCCACATATAATTTAGTACAACAAGGCGTTTTCATAATTTGAATAAACTGATATTGCTGCTGGCTAATCTAGGTGATATGAGCAAAAATTCTACATATAATTTATTACAACATGGC